CAATGATCTAATTTTTTCTACAGGGCCATCGGGTGTCTACAATGGTGCTCTTAAGTGTAGAAGTTGGACAAGAACTCAATCACAGAATCCTCATTGACTCTCAATGTGGGCCCAGTTCTGATGGTCTGAAGAGAAAGACATTTCTCCAACTTTTGGGTGCAGAGACTCCATCTAGATTTTTTGTGAAAATTGTCAATTTCCTTGCTCCACATATTGATTGCCAAGGGCAGAGTGAGGTCTACAAATGTGCATTTTCAGCAATTTTCACATCTTTCTTAATCCAGAGGGGGTCCAGGAACATGCTTAGAGAAACACTGGGATGGGTTTTTATTTTGTTTTGTTGTATTTTGTTTGTAGCTCTGTATGAACTCTGACGTTGTTGAGGAATCAGAAATGATGCCAAATTTCCACATGGGTCTCTGCTTTTGTTTTCTATAAGGCTTTTGCCAGGGTACATGTGCTCGCCAGAGATGAAAGAGACAGTGAGGCAGAAAGTGAGAAATTATCCCCCACAGGGATGATCACACCAAATCCCTTATTTTCCTTTCTCCTCCTAGGATTTTTGGGCACACATGCACATGGACCGGCATGACTTGCATGATATTCTCAAGCTGTCAGGTCCGGGACTTGAACCATGGTTGACCTTATGGGAGTCCAGCACGTTAACCACATGCCATTTGCTGGCCCTAGGTCCCTGCTTTTCTAACACTGTATCCAAGCTTGGTGGAGGGAGACTTTATCTTTGTCCTCACACTTTTGTAAAGTGCTCTTTAAAGTACAGCACTTACAACATCTAATTCAAATGGTTCTTAACCTTAGCTGAATATTGTATTCCCCTGGAGTGCTTTAAAATAATTCAAATGTCCTGACTCCATCCCAGACCAGAATCAGATCAGAGCCTCTGATTTCTCAGGTAAGCTGGGTAATACTGCTCAGGTAACTCCAGTGTGCAGACAAGGGTGAGAACTTGCCTTCCGGGTTCTCAGATTCACCAGCCCTAGCTTCTGCTGAAAGATGCCCTTTCCAATGCTGCCCCCTTCATCCTGGCCCACCCAGTATTCCTCTGGTGACTGTCCTTGGTGTTCCCAAATCCCCATTGCACACAACTGAACCCATCTATCAATAAATGGTGGTTTCAGGAGAAGTTATTTCACTAATATGATATGTGACATTATAGTTCTCTACATGGAAATGCATAGCTGGTTTGGAAGGCACTATGGCTAAGGCGACACTGCAGACAAATAGCAATTTACTGTTTGCCGAAAAAGTATCTATCAAATACTAAAACTAAGAAAAACTCCTAACTCTCAAGGAAAAACAAGATTAATCCTCGGTTTTGCCTTTGCACTTCAAAGTGGGAGATTAGACAGAGTGAAGCAGAGGTGAGGGTGAAGTGTGTGTGTGTGTGCACCTGTGTGCATTTGTGTGCCTAGCAAGCCTATGTGTGTGTTTGTATCTATGGATACCAGTCTGTCTCATTCTGAATAAATATACCCTTTCATTAGAACACACAGAGAATTTCAGGTTCTCAAGTGTTTTTCCCAGCTCCTCAATATGTTCATATCCCCAAAAATAACAATCGATGAAAAAGGATTGAAGAACATTTTAAATTAACATTTTGTCCACCTGTGTATATTTTATAAAACCCGCTAGAAAGGAAATAATTTACATGAGACCTTATCTTGTTAGTTTGTCTAATTAGTATAAGAAGTCTTGAAAAGAATTTCCAGTTGGCATCATTACTACATTCAACTACCCCTTTGAGAGTGTTCTCTTACAATTCATGGAAATGGATTGTCTACCCTCATGCAATTAGTTATAGAACAACTGGCATGTGTAATCAGGGGCCAGTATTCATGAATACAAAACATTTGTATTGCTCAGAGGTGGTTCTTTGTTGCAAATCACCTCTTTGGCAGCAGTTAATTTTTGCAATTAAGAACGAAATGACTCTCCTTCTAAAAATTCTGTATTCAGTAGAAACCTGATATGAACTGATTTTGTGGGTAAAAACGCATGTTTTATCTGATATATTCTGATGAAATGTACAGAAAATTGGCATGGGACACTCACAGAAAACAGACTGTGAGTATCCATAAAGAAATACTGAGAGCTTTTTGATTGATGGAGAGAATGACCTACAGGAGGACTGTGACAAATAAGTTCCTGTGGTGTGAGTCACATCAATTTGACTTTTGAATACAGATAAAATCTCATCAGAAACTTCCGTGCAAGAGGTTAAAGTGAAACTTTGATGATCAATACATATGACCCAAGGGCATTATTTGCTGCTTTAAATATTCTTGGATTATATTTGGTCTTTCTTGCTCTAAACTTTGATTGGATTCAGAGCCCAGGGATCAGGGGTGAAGAGATGCTGAATTGGCCTCTCTAGACTGAGTCATTTTTTCCCCCTTTTATGTCAGCTCACTTTTCTGATTCTTTAACTTTGGCCATTGTTTTAAGTCCCATAATGGCAGAGAACTACAAATAAGCATTCTGTTTCAGTAACTGAGTCATTTGGCTGGGAACATAAAACAATTAAATATCAAATATTAAACAATTTTCTGGGCATATGTCTGAGAGTTGTCAACCATGCGTAAGTAACTACTAACATGAAGTTGTCTATTTACAAGGACAGGGGCTCAAACCAGCATACACCAACATCTTTTGAAGAGCTTGCTGGCAAAGAGATGGCAGGGCCCATGCCAGAGTCTCTGACTCTGCAGATCTGGAGTAGGCCTGGGAATATGCACACCTAAGAAGATCAGAGTAGGCTGACGCTGTTGGTCCAGAGTCAACATTTTAAGAACTGATGTCAGGAAAACACCATGTACTGTACTCAGAGAAAACACACCTGCAATTTGAGAGCAATGTGTGATGGTGGTATGGTATCACAGGTGGGGCTTGAGCCCGTCATTGACAGTCCAGCACATCAACTTCTGGGATAGTGTGTGGGAGAAGAGGGGGATGGAGAAGGTAAGACATATCGAGGGAGCTTGATATTTGGAAAATGTTTTCCTAATTGTTGGTGAGCAAGAGAAACCCGAAGCTGTGTGTGCTGAGGGGTTGAGTATCCTTTTACCTGAAATGGGTGGGATTAGATGTGCTTTGGATTTGGGGATTTTTTTTTTTTTTTTGATATTTGGAATACTTGGATTCACATAATTAGGTATTTTAGTGTAGGACCCAAGTTTAACACAATATTTATGTTTCACATACACTATATACACCTATCCTGAGAGTAATTTTATACAATGGTTTTGTATTTCAGTGTTTGGATTCCAAACTGTCACAGGTGGTCAGGTGTGGACTTTTCCATTTGTGGTGTCATGTCAGTAATTCAAAAAGTTTCAGATTTTGGAACAATACAGGTTTTGTATTTTCAGATTAAGCATGCTTAACCTATCTCACTGGTAAGACAAAGGAATTAGATTAAATGCCGTTTTCTCTCAAATCGGTGCCAGGCACATTATAACAAACTTCAAAGTGACTCAGGATATGGGTGGATTTCAAGGTGTTCAAGGGCAGATGACTAAAGGAGTTGTTTTATTTATTTATTTATTAATGATGTCAACAGTTTATATCCTCCCATACTGACAGATAAAAACACGTACTGGGTCGTCAGAAAAGTCATAATGCATTTTCACATAGAAATGCATAGAAAAATGCTAAGCACAAAGCTTATATTCACAAATAACTTTCTGCTTAAAGACAAAATCTCCATTAATAATTTCCATGTCATTATTAATCAAAATCTCCATTAATAATAACATGGAAATTTTGTTATTTAATGCAACCATTAATCTATATATTATCAATAAAACTTAAACAGTTTTTTTTTTTTTTTTTGAGAGAGATTTTCGCTATAGGGCGCGTGAGCTCGCCAGACAGACAGAGAGAGACATAGAGACAGAAAGCGAGAAATCACCTCCCGGGGGGATGGTCACGCCGCAATCCCTTCTCCTCCATTCTCCTCTCGGGATCTTGGGCACGCACGCACACATGCCCGGCGTGAGTTTTAAGCCACCGGGTCCGGGACGCGAACCGCGGTTGACTATGTGGGAGTCCAGCGACATAGCCATTACGCTAACTGCTGGTTCCCAAAACTTAAACAGTTTTTAATCACAAAACTTAGCTTATACTCATTGGACATGCATCAATAATCTATACATCTTAACATTACACCAGGAAAGAAACTAAATATAAATAACAAATCCAATTTCTGATGAGTTCCAGAGGAGAGCTGATGAGTGAGGTGAATGGTCAGTCCCAGCTGGAAAACAGCACCGATTGAAGATACAATCCCTTACGGCGTGAGGGAAATAGCTAAGGGGAGGGCTGGCACTGTGCACACACACTCTCCCTTGCCTCCCAGAAGCTCTCAAAACACCCACCATATTTTTCCTCATCTCTTCATTATCATCACATAATATTTATTGAGTTCACTCATGCGTGTGGCCCTGTCTTCTTCCATTCTGCTCAAATTTTCTTCTTCATTTCCCTTTCTCTTCTTGGCTTGTTCTCAATCTACTGAGTTTAATCCCCTCTGGCTGCCAACTGTGAACAACATCTCCACCCACTAGATCAAGAATCTGCCTTTTAGAAATGGTGTCCAATTAGAGATACAACGTTCCCAGACATGGATTTTCTCACTCATAGGCAGGAATCAGAAGGAATTTATCGTACAGTGAAGCACACCCTAGCTGTGCCCACAAGAATATTAAACAATAACTAAAAGGCATTTATGGATGCTTGTACAAGGAATAAGGAAGAAATGGTGTCAGGGAGAGAAGGAGGCAGACACACACACACACACACACACACACACACACATTCTGACTGCTCTTCCTTTTCAATGGTCATGTGCTTACAACCTTCCTTGGGAGGAGAAAATGTCAATGTCCTATAGAGGCCCATAGGTAATATGTGCATGTAAGATCTAACTGTGGAATCCTAATAGTCCAGCTTCTTAGCATGAGCAGCTCCATCCACCTTACCTCATCAAGACATCTCTCATACTGCTCCCTCTGGTTTTCATTTTCCAAAGCCAATGCTGAATTCTCCGCCTGCAGTAAGATACAAAAATAATACAAATAAATCAATGAAATGATGTGTTATGTGACAACTTATTCAATATAGTTACTAAATATATCTCCTCAGGATCTAAAATAATCTTTTAGAAGTACCTTTGACAAGTTTGCTCAAAGTACTATTGTAAATATCTCAGGGATGACTTCTGTCTTATCAGTCTGCTCGCAAACACATGACGATGTTAAGAAATGCAATATTTGATATTCTGAGCAGGTAGAAAATCAAATCATGGCTTGATGTGAGAGTGTTGCGTAAAAAGATTACAATGTTTATTTCATTCTCTGAAAATGTAAATGTAAGAAATGCCTTAATCCACTTCATTAAGACCTGTCATAGTCTCACAGTCTAATATTTGTGCAGGCCACAGAAAAGAATGTCTGGCAAAGCCATGAACCATAATTCCAAATGCAAACTAAACATGTTATTTTCATTGTTCACCAATGACTTTTGAACATAAGAAGATAATGAGAAATGTAAGACTTGAGCTAGACTTATACATCCCTCTTCCTACCACCACTCTCTTACATGATTGCTTTTATGTTCCTTTTTATGTTCCTCAGAGTCATGTGGCTATTTGAATGTCAGAAAAGCTTACTAGGTAAGTACCAGGAATAGCGATGAGGGGGGAGGAATCATATAAGCATAGGAGGTTTTAGAAGGAGCATGACATGGCTTTAGGAGAATGGCACTCTCCACCTGCTGACCACTTCTATCACAGCTACCCTGGGCTGAATTCTGAACTGTGCATGTTAACCCTTCCTGGGGCTGTGACAATGACCACCAGCCCTAGTTTCCAAGCAAACTTGGCTCTACCCACTCCTTCACTCCACTCCCCTTGTCACTTGGAAGCATGGGTAGGTGCTTCGAATAATTATTTTCAAAAGTATGGTTTGAAAATAGAGCAACAGAGATCAACACTTTTCTGTCATAGCTTTTTTTAAACTTTCTATTCAGAAATTATTTCAAACTTAGGATTTGCAAGAACAGTATAAAGAATGCCCACATACCCCTCCCTCAGATACACTAATTGGTAATGATTTGCCACATCTGCTTTAACATTCTCCTCCCCTCCCATTTTTTTGTCCTGCCACTTGAGCAGAAGTTGTAGACATGATATCTGTTATCCCCAAATACTTCCGTGTAGATTTCCAAATAACAAAGACATTGTCTTACACAACCACAGCATACTCATCAAATCCAGGAATATGAATACAGTATTCTAATCTAATCTGCAATTCTTATTTCAAGTCTCATCAACCAGCTCAATAACATTCTTCGTAGCAAAGATTTCCCAGTGTACAGTCGTACCCAGGATCATGCATTATATGTATTTGCCATAGTCACTTATCCAGTATCCTTTATCCTGGAATAATTCCTTTGACTTTCATGTTATTGATTTCCTTCACTCCCTGACCTCCCAGAGTAGTTATTCTGTAGAATGCCCCTTAACGTGGGTTTCTCTGAAGACTCCTCATGCATACTTGGCAGGAAGAGAACAGAAGCGATGCAGGGTCCTTTTCAGGGCATCTTATCATTCATGCACGTCCATACTGTCCATGCATCCTACTGCAGAACATGGTTAAGGCAGGCTTAGCCAAATCACTCTACTATAAGGTTATTATCTTTCCTTCTGTTATTAATAAGTAATTTGTGAGGAGACACTGTGAGACTGTAAAAATGCCCTATTACTTTTCAAACTTTTGCCTTCTTAGTTTAGCAATCATTGATAATATCTTATAGTCTATCTACATTTATGAGCTTTCATTCTATCATAAGAAAGTGCTTTTCTTATTTATTTTTTAGTATGCATACATGGATTTTATATTACACAAACAGTAATAAGGTATTACTATAAATATTTATTAGTGGGTACTATGAACAACTATATGCCAACAAACAAGAAAATCTGGATGAGATGGAGAAATTTTTGGACACATCTATCAAGATTGACCCACGAGGATGTAGAAAGTCCATAACATTGTGTTCAAAAGTTACTACATTGGTTGGTCCCCTCTTAATGTGGCTATGCTATTCATTTAAAATTCAGTTCAATTCACTTGTGTCTGATGGTTTCTCCTCTTCTTAATTTCATTTTTATTGAGTATATAAAACGTTAATTGATTCCAAAGGTCAAAATTATGCTAAAAGGTATATACTCCAGTGAGGTGTGCCTCTCTCTCCTGTCCCACTCCTCCCTACCCCTTGGAGGTTCCTCGGTAGTGCGCATCCCCTCCCCTGCTTTGCTGGTCTTTCGGGTGTTACATACAGTCCATGTGAACCACGCTCACAATCACTTCTACCCTGCCCCACCCTTGTTCCCACCTCTTTAATGGATGATGAGTGGGGAGACTGGATTTATACTTTCTTTTTTTTCTAAAGCATTTTGAAATTTCCTCCTTTGTTCTTCTCCTTTTAAAGCCATATGCCAAATGGCACCTCTTCTTTCCTCTTCATTGCTCCCCGAAGGCTTCTCCTCTCTGAGACAGTCTCCCGGGGTTTGCACACTCTCAAGCCTTGCCCTGCGGCTGGACGAGAACCACGTGTGTCCATCTCTGTTCTGATGACCATGGCACTGGCCTTTCCCACTCTGTGTGCGCCTCCCTCTCTGCTCTCCGCTACCACCTTCTGGACCTGCAAGTTGGCAGCAGCAGTTAGTTCTGTGGTTATCAGAAATGTGAACATTCTCTGTTTCTGATAATGCAGAAGGCATGGGTTATGTGTGGGTTTTGTTTGTGCATGTTTCCTGGCTTAAATGTTTTTATTCGTAGATGCATGGAAAGTTTCAGAGTTAGGTCAGTTTGTTATTTAGTTTAATCAACCATAAAATCTGGGTGAAATGAATGACACAGGATGGATCACAAGAGCTGAGGAAGTCTGCTGGAGAAAGGAGATTTGAAGACACTCTTACCATCTTGATAAATGTCAGATTATCTCAGTTCAAAGCCCAGGACTCAAGCCCCCCATTTCTTCTTCAGGTTTCTGTGCTAATCCTTGGGCTCATTCTCATTCCTTGGGGCCTGAATTCCCATTTTAACATCCCCCTCACACTCTAGTACCTCAGGCGGGTTCCTGCCATGTTTCTTCAGTTCTCATCTTTGACAGACATCTGCCACACAGTCCAGCCCTTCTGCCCTCAGGCCACTCATCGGCTTGGACTTTCTCACTACTGATTACTGTTAGATCGCATCTTTTCTTTAGTCCTCACCCACTGTAAACAGCTTTTCCTGACTTGATTTTTCCTTCAGGGAATGGTTTTGACCTGTCATGCTGTACCTGCGCCTGGTATAGCCACTCGCTTCCTCCACCAGCGCAAATGCAAGGACACTTCCATTCCATTGCAGGTGACTGGGCTATGCCAGGTTGTAATCTTTAGTAAGCTCTTTAACACTGCTGGATTTAGAGAGCTTTCATCAATAAACAAAGAAAACAAAGTAGTCCATCTAAAAAGCAACTTCCCGCTCAAATATTGGGATACCAAGAATTACAGGGGACACTGCAACAATTCTGATTCTATAGTTCTTTCCCACAAATCAAATCACCACTTTCATTGGAGAAAGTCAGCTTTTGTGGAGTCTCCTGCTCCTGCTTTTAAGAAGGCAAGGGCACAAAGGATAATGGGAAGCGATAAAGGAACACCACCACCAGTTTAGGTTGTTTTCACTTTAAATGTGTTAGAAAAACGTGTAAGAAAATAGAGCTGAAAGTGGGAATTTATATGGGATATCTGTATCTTGCTGCTACCAACAATATCACTTTGCAATAATGCCACAATCGATCCATTCAGATAATTACCATCATTACACCGTTTACATCTCTTGCCTCACGTTTACTACTCTGACAATCTATCACAGCCAAGCAAATTAAATACCTGAAGGGTGCTAGTGAAGACACAATAGTCACATTTATGGTTACTGTGTTCAGTTACAGAGACCAATTTAATTGATGTAATCCTACATATCCCAGGGGACAAATGAGATATTAGCAATTATGCCAGTGAAGTTAAAATAATCTTGAACTCATGATTTTCTTTAATTCATTTGCATGCATTAGAGATTCCGGATTAACCTGCTACCACCATGTAACAACAGACGGGGGGAAAAACAAACAGGGAAAAAATATCTCTTAATTAAATGTAATTTAAAGAAATCGTGAACACTTATATAGCAGGGATGGAAACAAATAAGGCAAAGCGGGAAAGAAGAGAAAATGTAGATGTCACTGCTAAGAATTATAGAAATGATAACACAGATCTTTTCCTCCTTTAAATAAGTATATTATTAAATCAATATGCCCAGGGGATACAATTACAGTATTTGAGTCTATGCCAGAGTGAATTGTTGTGTCCAGTTTCATCTTTCAGAACCATCCAAAACTTCGGCTCACCCTACTCCATGAAATAAATTTCCTGTGCACTCTAACTTCCCCACAATTCCACATGATAGTGATTTAAATACGCTTCTGGTTTCAACTCTAAAAATTCTTAAATGTCCTAATAAAATCAAACAGCATCATAGAACAAATCCATACCATCTTGGATCACTGTGGGAAAGGGGCCTGAATTAAAATGCATTTAAAGGAACTATTTTCTTAGAAGTTTTAGTAAATAGATATGCTGGCCAGAGCTCACCAACAAATGAACAAACTGATACTTCTAAAACCACTGGTCTGCATTCATTCTCTAGAGGTACAGTATTCTTGAAATCGGTTTATATTGTAATTTACATAATACATCCTTTCCCACAAATCAAAGGTAGACTAGCTCCGCAAACAAAGGAAACTTCCCTGTGTCAAAAATAATGGCTCTGCGGCAAGCGTCTCATCTCTTATGAACCTGTCCTGACTCATCCTCCGGAATTTACACTTCCGCTGCGCCACCACCTGCGCCACGTCCCGAGTCAGAGCTGGTCCCGATTTATCTCATGAAAGTCCCCGCTCTTGTGCCGTGCTGTCGGTTCTGTTGATCTAGACTGAATGT